AAGGAAACCAGCTAAACCCAAACTAACTATCTGATAATTTGCCGTAAATTATCCGTTGTTTATCCGTGAAAAGAATTATCTTGCCGCGGACACATTTTAAAAAATATGCGTGGAAGTTAGCAGAGCACCTTCTGACAACCAATTAAGGAAACCAGCTAAACCCAAACTAACTATCTGATAATTTGCCGTAAATTATCCGTTGTTTATCCGTGAAAAGAATAATATCACGTGCCCTGCTAACTTCCGTGGATGTTAGCAGGGCACCTTCTGAAAACCAATTAAGGAAACCAGCTAAACCCAAACTACCTGTCTGATAATTTGCAGTAAATTATCCGTTGTTTATCCGTGAAAAGAATAATTTTGCCGTGGACACATCTTAAAAAATATCGCGTGCCCTTCTAACTTCCGTGGAAGTTAGCAGGGCACCTTCTGACAACCAATTAAGGAAACCAGCTAAACCCAAAGTATCTGATAATTTGCCGTAAATTATCCGTTGTTTATCCGTGAAAAGAAGACATTTTAAAAAATATCGTGTGCCCTGACAACCAATTAAGGAAACCAGCTAAACCCAAACTAACTATTATAATATTCTTTCTTCAATTAAAATAATATAAATTTTGCAGGAAAGTTCTTTTTTCTTCTTTATTCTGTGCCAGTCTATTTATGAATGAAAAAATTCTTTTTATGTTACATTTATAAATTCTTTACCTAAAGCTACTACAGTTACAAGTGTGTTACAATTGAGATACATATGTTACAGTAGGTGTGCTACAGTTAATACGTGCTACAGTTCGGCCATCCTGACTTACAATCGCCCCGATTGCCTCCTAATCTTTATTTACTAACCACGATTTCATGTTCGCCGCTTCCCATACCCCCTCATATGGAATCTGACTGATCTGAAAACCTTCTATATTTGTTATCAGATAACGATCATTTGGTAAAACTTTTGCCACTCTATAAGGCCCTTTGTATTTTGGAGCAATTTTCTTACACACCCCAGGACTACTAACAAAATTCCTAACAACCTCAACATCTCCTTCATTATATGTCTTGGAAGTCGATTACGATCTTTTTGAATCTTATTATAGTCTTGACATTTTCTTATATTTTCCGCTGCTTTAGAACGGGTTTTTTCTAAATCTCGTTCCTCCTCATGCAAACAAAACTCCTCCAACTTTTCTTTCAAAAAGTCTATTACGGGCCCTTTCTGTGGCACACCAAATAATAATATACCTGGTGTTGTACCAATGCTTCGATGATGCGAATTATTTAAAACGAACTCTATGTTCGGCAAAATTTTATCAAAGCTATAAATCACCCCGGCATTAGTAATTTTGGTAATCATTGGAGCCAAAGTGCGATTAATTCGTTCCACTTGTACATTTGCTTGTGGAGACCCCGTAGCTATTTTTATATGTTTTACATTATTCGAATTTAAAAATAATTGAAACTCGTTTGACGTAAATGCACTTCCTCTATCTGAAACTAAAATTTTAGGTCGGCTATAAGTATTGAAATACAACTTAAGGCAACTTATAACTTCACTGGATCCAGCAGTTCGTGTCGGAAAAAAGCTTAGCAAATTTTGTAGAACCATCCACAACTAAAAATACATATTTTTTTTTACA